GAAATGATGCCTTACCTTATATTAATCTATCAAATAACACCCCAATAAATTGCATACAGGTTTGTGTGCAGTGAGTTAGGCATATGATTCCTTTTTTAAGGCACCCTGTTGGTAAGGATTCCCCAGATCCACAAAATAACAAACCCTCAGTGCTTTTCTTCAGAGTTTGGGAAGCCTCCTCCTTGGCTTTTTTCTGCTCAGCCTTCAAATCTGCAATTTTCTTTACTGTCAGAGACAGAAAACCAAGTTTTTACCATGTCGAGATAACAACAACATGTTACATGAATAATTAGAAATTAATTTATACTTAGATTATAGTTTTCTGTGTCAGCGTTCTTGAGCTGAAGTTCAGTGTTTTGCAGTTTGTTCTTAGTGATATTGAGTCTCTCCTCAAGATCTGGATGTAAAAATTGGGCATATGAGATAAGAACAAAAATTTTATGTTATATTAGCATAATTGCTGCTGTTTTACCTGCAAGGTTTTCAGCATATGTCTGTTTGAGGTCTGCTAATTCCTCCTGCAGTGGTCCAATTTTCTCATGGAGCTCCATGATCTGAGCGGCTGAAAAAAACAAACATTTTAAGCCACTTAAATGTCATTAGTATGTAATAATGATGGGGTTTTTTGTTCATGTTTAATAAAGGCTTGATTCTTCTTACACAGATTTGCAATCCTGGTGGTGCTTTTTTTCAGCAAATCAGTTTTTGCTTGCATCTGATTTCTGACCAAATCTAAGTTGTCTTCCAGATCTTTAAAAAAGAAAACAAAATCGTCAGGTGTTTCCCTTATGTCTCCCCGCCCCCAAACCATCTTTGATGCCACACCTTTAATTTTCTTGGCCTTTGCTCCCAGCTGGCTCTCCTGCTCCTTTATCAGTCTTGCTATTTCTTCTTGTTGAGCCAAAATTTGTAAAGCTGATGGGGGAAGAAAAGAAGATCAGACGGAATCCTTTGCAGGCATGCACGGCATGTTACATTCATTTCAGTGGCACCTACTTAGTTTTGTGTTTTCATTGTCTCTATCCTGAATTCCATCTATCAAGTGATTGAGGTGGTCTTGGAGAGCTGATGTTAAAACGAAGAAACGCATCATTATTTTACTGTAACACTGCTTTTTTATCCAGATCAGTTAGAAATTATTGCAGCTATAGCTTAATGCTTCTATGACTCACCTCTGACCTTGGCGTAATCGGATTCATTCGAAGCTGTGAGTGTCTGCTGCTCGATCTTTACTTGTGTGTCAATAATCTGTAAAACTAAAAGAGCTGTTTTTGTTAATCTCACCTCACATCAGCATCACCCATAAAAATCTGTGATTTTTTTTTGGTTCTGTATTGAACTCACGTCTTTGTGCTTCAGTGCTTTGTTTTCTCAGCTCCTCTGTTTTGTTCTCCAACTTTGCACTTTGCTGAGCAATACTTCTCTGAAGCTCTTTTGAATAAACAGGACATTTAAATATGGACAACTTAAAAAAAAAACATAAAACATTGACATAGTAATAGAAAAGTAATGGTTTAAACTAGTGGTGTCCAAATATTTTGATTTAATGAACAGATATATATATATTTGGCCTACAAATGTTTTTAGACTATATACAGAAGAAAGACAGGGATATTTGTTCGACCTACATCTGACTTTAAGTAAAAGATGCTGGATGTTTACGGTACTTTTTACTGGGAGATTAAAATGAAAGACATGGTTGTTAGTGTCTAACAGTAGTACAGGCTTAAGTCGTGTGACCCATACAGAATATGGAGGCCTTAGTCCTCCACGAAGCTGTGCTGAAATTGAATCAGCTAATTAAAAAATGCCACTAGTGCCAGACAACCCAACAAACAAACATAAAACATAAATGGTTAAAGTAAAAACTTTTTGTTATATCACTTTCTTGAATTACAGCCAGAATACACACAAAAACATTCCATATGGCCCCTGCTCCATAGCTTGAACATCCCTAATCTAAGGTCCTTTTTTTCAGTGAAAAGGAGTTTTTTGAAGTCCATCCATCCATCCATCCATCCATCCATCCATCCATCCATCCATCCATCCATCCATCCATCCATCCTCTTCTGCTTATCCGGGGTCGGGTTGTGGGGGTAGTAGCTTCAGTTGGGAGTCCCAGACGTCCCGCTCCCCAGCCACTTGGGCCAACACTTCTGGGGGAATCCCAAGGCGCTCCCAGGCCAGCCGAGAAACATAGTCCCTCCAGCATGTCCTGAGTCTCCTCCTGGGCCTCCTCCCGGTGGGACATGCCTGGAACACCTCACCAGGGCTGAGAGCTTCTTCATCCGAGGATCAGAACGCCAACCCCTTTGGCCCCTCCTACAGGTGGTGAGCCCATTGGAAGGGGGACCAATGTTTCCTCTGTGGGCTGTGCCTGGCCTGGCTCCAGGGGTAAAAGCCTGGCCACCAAGCGCTCGCCAGCATGCCCCATCTCCAGGCCTGGCTCCAGAGTGGGGCCCCGGTGACCCGCGTCCGGGTGAGGGAACACCACATCCATTTATTTTGCTCGTCATAAGGGGTCTTTGGGCTGTTCTTTGTCTGGTCCCTCACCTAGGACCTGTCTGCATAGGGTGACCGTACTAGGGGGCATAAAGCCCCCAGACAGCATTGCTCCTAAGGTCATTGGGACACTCAAACCCCTCCACCACGATAAAGGGGCAGCCCAGGGAGGAAGTTAACATTTGAAATTTAAGAAACTGTTTTCAGAAGTCAGTGGAAATGTGGGGTAAATAAAGCTGTGCTTGAAAGTTTAAATACCCATCCATTGAAGACAGAAAACAATCAGCTGCCAATAAAGTAAATCAAAACTGACAACAAAAAATAATAAATAAAAATGATTTAAAAAATGGAAATCATGACTTTGACCCTGATGAAGCTCTTAACTAAAGATTTTGTTGAGCAATACTTTGAGGCAATTAATGAAATCAGGTGTTTTCCGCTCCTGTGGACTAGTATGCTAGTTCACTGTTTATGAGCAAGATACTTTCATTTGTCTGGGACCGTCTTTTTTTTTTTTTTTTTTAGTATTTTTTTTTAGATAAAAATAAAAAAATAATATTTTATTTTACTAAATTATCATTTTAAATTTTCTATTTATTATTGCTTTTTAGTTTTGTGTTATTTGAATTAGTAGTGTGAATTTATAATTTTCACAGATACTGAAAGAGCAAGTTATGTAAAATTTCTTGGGGTAAAAACAGAAAATTTAAGCTGGATCAACATTTTCTAAAAAATCGGAGGTTTTATATAAAGTTAAAGATTTCCTTAAATTAAATAAAGTTACATCTCTTGTACTATTCCTTATTTTTGCCTTACCTGATGTACTGCATTGAAACTAATATAAATCCTTTGTTTATAATTTTAGAGAGAGCTATTTGAATTGTGAATGAAGCAGATTATAGTAAAGCATACAAATATATTTTTTTTCAATCTAAAACATAAAAAGTTTAAGATTTGGTTAACTTTAAAACTTTCAAATTGTGTACAAACTAAAGAACACTTTGTCGCTAGTACATATTCAGAGGCCTGTTTACGATCCAAGACAGTGCTTATGATCTTAGAGGGTATAAAATGTTCAGAAAACCATGAATAAATATAAAACAACTGTATTTCTTGATGTATGGAACAACTTAAACAAGGAGTAAAAAGATTGCACTAAATTAGTAAGGATTAAAAACATTTAAGAAAAATGTGATTTAAGATTATGAATCATGAGAATGTAATGAACAGCAATAATCATATTTTAGCATAAATTATAAAAGTATCCCTGTTTTTCTCTAGTCCAATATAATTGTAATAGTTGCTTATTGCTTCTGCATGTATACCTTTTTTGGACTGTTTTTTTTATCTACGTTATATATGGTATATTTGTTTTTTGTATCTGAAATAAAGTTACTTACTTACATTTTAATATGTCCCATTGTACGGTAATCTCAATATTGAGGCCAAAAAAAAGAGACCTGTTCCTGTCTGATTACTGCTTGGAGATGATCACAACTTGTTCCCTTTACTGATTTCTGCAAACTGACCACAGGTTCTGAATGGGATTGACATCAGACCAGTTTCTAAGCTTTTCATAGTTCTGATCACTGAGCCATTTCTTTTTCCTGTGTGGCTGTGGACACTGGGCTCCACTCTGATGGAAAATACACCGAATAAAACCAGACTGTAGCTGGAAAAAGCTGCTTTTACGGGAGGTTTTCATCCACATCTGCATCTCCGGCACATTTGGATCATTTGGGATTGCATCAGCAAGGCTGGAGGTAACTACGGGCAACACAAAACTACATACATTTCAATCATCAGACTTCTTTTTGAGACAGCTGATTGATTTCAGCTGGAACTGTCCTGAAATAAAGATAGCTAGGGCTGAACTACAGCAAATAATTTTTTAACAACAACATAAGCCTTGAAGTTGCCAAAACCCTTTTAACATCAATGATTCTTAATGCATCTAAACTGCACACTTGGCTGCACTGTTCTCGTGACCCACCTTCAGCTACAGATTGAGAAACAGAGTTCTCCAGCTGTTTCTTCAGTTCTTCCAGCTGCAGAGTGAGTGTAGAAACTTGAAGAGCTAAAAGGAGGAAGCGACATGGTTTCAGTCGGTACTGACAGGCTCTGATCCTTAAATCCATAGAAATAATTTAGGCAGAATATACATGACTTACTGAGAGATGTCACTCTGTCTGACCTGGTACCGAGTTCCTCAATTGCGGCGTCAAAACGCTTTTGCAGATCTAAAAAAAAAAAAGGTATGAAATCATTTACCTTTAAGCTCAGAACATCTGCTGCAAAATTAGGCCAAGAGAAATAATAGTATTCACCTTTAATTTTCTGCTCATCCTGAGAACACTGTACATCAGTCTGGTTCAAAGCAACCTGCAGAGCTTCACATTACAAATATAAAACTGTAATTCATAAGGTATTTACATTCCCAGGGGTCTCTATGTGTACTAGGTCTAAAAACCTGTCTAAACGTACTTCTGATCAAAGCCTGATGTTCCACGTTCTCCTTCTCTTTCATCTTCAGTTGTTCTCTCAGCTCTAAAAAAAAAAGAAAAAAAGATTTATCACAAGATAAATAACAACGTTCTGTACTACCTTTCTGATCCTTAAAGGTTATTATTGATTTGTTCATAACAGTAAAAAGCAAGAGTCTACTAACTGGATATAATAGCTTTGTCCTCAATTTCCTTGTTGGTTTCCAGTTGCCTGAGCCGGCTTTGCAGAGAAAAGATGTTTTTCACTGAAAAAAGAAACAAAAAATGTAGATATGTATTTTAACATATAATAGGTACATTTATTTTGACAAGATGCAGATGGACATCGATAGAAAAATTAAAGATTACAACAACTTTTTCCTGTGTCACCTACACAGATCAGTGGTGTTCTGGTTGCTTTTAGCCATCTCCATGAAGACTTGATCCAACTCTGCCTGCTTGGCTTCAAGCTCATTACTGAGCTCTGATTTATCAAAAAAAAGAATAAAAACATCAGTCATTTGCAGGAGATCATGAATACACCCAATATTAATAAAAACAGTCTTTTCATTTGTTTTCATGGGATTCAGCTAGGTAAATATACGGATAACTGAGAGGTGGGAGGAAAATTATGATGGTTTGAACATTTTCTGAGACTGAGGTTGCAATCTGTACTTCTAGACTCAACACACAGCAGAACCACCTTTCTACGAGTGTGGTTGTTTCTTCCATCATCTGTTTGAATAGCAGACATACAGTAGGTATTTTGTTATTTGGTGTCTCTGCATAAAATCTGGACTTCACCCAAACCCTTCAGCCTGTTCTCTAAACTAGAGCCTACTTATAGGAGACACAGTCTTAATAAAAGACAACCTGTTAATCTGACATTTATTCTGTCTCATCCAAGAACTAATGCATTAAAACACAATCTCTCTGTGGAATATATTGCCACAGAATATAAGATTTATACAAAATCATATCTCTTTTGAATTAAAATCTTAAGAAATATATAATTAATAAGGAAATTATGTTTGTTTAACTAGGGACATACACATTGTTGTATAAACTGACTGTGATGATTTTGGTCAAAAATGGAGCCCAGGAAGGATTTATTTATTTAATTAACCCCAGGGATCCTTAAATAAACAAAAAAACAAACAAATAAATAAATAAAATAGCAGAATAAGAGCAAATATTTTGTAGAATTTGGAATTTAATTAACTCATAAATATGCTTTAATCCAAAATAGCCCTATGCTATGGCTCTGGTTGGATGGTTGATGACCTCACACAGTCTATCTACCCATCAGCACTGAGCAGTGTCCCTGCTGCTGCAGAAGAAACACCTTCCTCCAGCATGTTGTGGTTGATGTTGGTGTTCTGAGTGGGATTTAAAGTGTTAGTCCAGCTCTGGTTTTATCTGAGCACAGAACACATCTTAAATGGTTTCTAAGATTTTCCGATTTTCCCATAAGTGCTAACTTTGAGGAGTGCTGGTGAAGATTCTTAGTCATCCAGGTCAGAAGGACGGGCCCGCCTCTTAGGAACGCCAACGACTCCCCATTCCTAAAGGGCCGACCCATTCTTCCTGTTCAATTTGCATTTTCTAAATCTTAGAAACCATGTAATATGTGTTGGAGAGGGTGCTTAGAGATTTAGTTTTGGTCCACTCAATAAAGCCTTGAACTCAACGCTAATTCTGACATTTTGAATTGAAAAAGCTTCCTGGATGGGAAGTGAAATGCCTTCAAACTTGGAAGCTAAGTTCTGTGGATTGTTTTTATAACTTTTTTGGAACTTTAAGGAGACCTAAAACACTCTTCATTAGTGAAAAAAGTGAAACCACCAGATTTAGATAAAAGTAATTCAAAAATATGAGACAGTTTAAAGGTTATGAATATTTCTGAAATGCAAAGTAAACCTCCATATAGATATTAGTCCAATTAGGTAGAGATACGTACGGGTAACTTTCTGGGTCTTTGAGTCCTCCGCTTTTGGCAGCAGTTTCTGAAGATACTCCACCTGACTCTGCAGGATCAGGATTGTCATCACTGAAGCACAAAATAAAAAAAGACAAGAGTGTATCAAAAAGAAGTATTTACGTCAATGATTGACCCCAAACACTACGGATAGATAAGATGGATGGAAGAGTTGGAAAAGGGTTAAGAATCAAGAATATTTGTTATTATGTGGCATCAAAGAGCAAAACACAACCACAGAATAAAAAAACACAGTATGGAATATTAAACATGGAGGAAAGCAGTTTTCACTCACGCTGCTTCATGTTTCCCTCCTCTGTGCTGTCCAGCTCACTGAGCAGTCCCTCTAGTCTCTCTTGCATTGCTGGGGGGGGGGGAACAATTAAGTCGCATCTCTAAAACAGTTCCTGCAAAAATGTTACAACATTTCGTCATTTTAAAGTACCTGTTATCTCCTCACTCGTCCCATTAGTGTACTTGCTCTGAAGATCCCAGACGTCATTCAGAAGGTTGATGATCATCAAAACTGGAACATAATAGAGGAGAGTTTGGGGGATACAACATTAAACAGTTATTCTGTTTACTATGCACTAAAGCCACAATTAGTTTAATCTATACTTCATGCATGTCGATGCTAAATGCATCTGGTTTTGTTAGGAGAGTATCGTAGACCTCCTGGGTTCCATAAAGACCAAAGAGAGAGCTTCTTAATGGTCGTAAACATGCAGTTAATTTAAAATACGTCTGACCATGTTGACGTTATGCTGCACTAACTACATTCACATCCTGTTGGCAGGACTCCAAATGAACTAATTTAAGGCTTGTGCCCAGGGGATGCAAAGCAGAGGTCATCCTTCCATTGTTCGGCTGCAGCAAAAAAGATCCTATTAAGCAGCTGACATGATCAATCCACTCACTTAAGAAAAAAAATAGCATGTCCAGGCTTCCTAAGCCCAGAGATCTGTAAGCACTGGGATCCCAGTGCGATTGGGAGAGACTCTACTGAATGTGTCAAACAGGAGCACTTTAAGGCTAGAAAATTATCTAAATTAAACGTATATTATCTGGAAGCATCACTATAGACGCACTTATCTGTGAGTTGGGAATCAGTCTCTCTATGTCTGCAGTCTTGATCTTCAGCTCCTCTTTTTTCTCTTGCAGCAGCTTCTGTAGCCCTGGGGGAAGATGAGGGGGAGAAAAATAAGCTTTAAGAAGTAGAAATGGATATTTCATGGAAATCTGCAAAAAAAAAATAATAATTAAAAAAAACATTAAAATACTAACTTACAGGAAATATTTTGACATTTCGTACTTTTTCATGATGAAGTATTAAAGAAATTAGTTCATCAGTCAGAATGTTTTTGGTAGCTGATCCCATTTGTTACAGTCATTTTCCAATTAAAAAAGTTTAAAACGGAAAAACTTTTAAAGCTGCACTCATACGTTTAACTGGTACTCACTTGCAGTATCATTTGGATCGGTTAAGGTTAAGATCTTCTTCTTTAAAGTCTTGATTTCATCATGAATGCTTGTTAAACTCAGAACTGACAGTCGAACATGAATGAGAAAAGTTTACCATAAATAGAAACTAAGTAGGAACACAAATTTCAATAAAAATGTGAACAAATTACTGACTGAGGGCAGCTGGAGAGTCTCCAGTTTTGTTCAACTGTTCGATCTTATTTTCCAGTTCACCCGTTAGCCCTAAGGAAAAAAACAGGATCATTCTTTAGATCAGACAACAACAAATCTGCAGTTCGGGCTGAACTCAGAGAAGCTGCTCACTCTTATATTGTTCCTGGAGTCCAGAGCATTGCTCACGTGTCCAATTAAGCTGCTTCTTCAGATCTTATATTGGGAGGGAAAAAACAAAAAAACTGCTCAGTTGTCAAATTTTTTATATAAACATTTTGATAAATATCACAAAGATAAAGTTGCTCAGGAAGGCTGACTCTGTATTTCAGTTTGAGCGTTGCCGTAGTCTTGTTTATAGGTTTGAATAAGCGTCAGAACATCTGTAAGAAGATAATAAACGGGCATAAATGTCAACAATAATCTGATATGTTTCAGATTAAGTGGAGGCATACTCACCCTGTGAACCAGTAGTCGGCTGTAGGTGTCTCAGCTCCTCCATTATGACGATACTTCTCATGACTGTTTAAAGGAAAAGCACAAGCTTGTTTGCCTGCTGTGGTGAATTATATGTTAAACTTTCTGCAAGGGCAGAGACCAATCTCCTTTCTGTTCGTACTCACTCAGCTGTGAAACAGCATTGTCCGCATTTCTCATTAAATTTATCAAAAAAATCTCTTCTCTCTTCTTTTCCTCGATCTGCTCCGTTAGCTCTAAAATAATAATGGTAATGATAAAAAAACAAACAAACCTTATTTTAATATATTTCTGTATTTACCTTTCAAGTACTTGCAGATGAGTTAATAATAGTTGTGAGACAAATCAACATGAAATAACTGTTTTAGAGATTTATCAGGTTACAGAAAAATGTTTAATTGTGTTTATTGTTTTTTGTGACATTAGTGCATAACTGTAAAAGAATAAAAATAGTACATGGTTTTAATTCTTTTTTAGAACCAAAATTCAAAAAGTGAGACATGAATTCATGTTCAGCTTGCTTTTTTTCACTGATACCTACAAATCAAGTCTAATGGAGCAAGTGGCTTAACAATTACTTGAGTAATTTACAGTCAGTATAAATCCAGTGGTTCAGAAAAGCGACTTTCTGATCTCATAGAGTCATGATAAGCAAGGAAGGCAGCTCATAGGCAAGGGTTAAAGCTTCGCCGAAGATAAGGAAGGTTTTGAGTGTACAGAAATGTAGCACAACTCTATCACAGCTGACATGCTGAGAAAGGAAAAATATCAATCAAAGGAGCAGCCAAGTGGCCAATGGTAACTCTGCAGAGATCCTCAGCTCAGGATGGAAAACCAGAAGTATGGATGATAAGAAAGAACAGCAGAAAAAAGTCTCCCTACAACCAGGAAACATCAGTAAGAGCTGATGTTTATAAATTATATCAATGGAGGAAAGCTGACACTAAATATCAGCCTGAACACACCATCCGTAACATGGAGGTGGAAGCATCATGCTGTGGAGAGGCTTTTCTGTTAGGCTGATCAAAGCCAGTGGGAGATGCATTGCGTTTTTTACACAACCTGTCTGGAAGAAACCCTGCGAGTCGCTGGAAAACATTTGAAACATTGGCGAAGCTTCACCTTTCAGTCGGACAGGCCCAAAAAAAAAGGTTTGGACCGAACAAAGAGTCCATTCTCAAATCTCTCTGGAAATCTGTGTTAAGACTATGAAAAAAAAAATTTAAATATACTCTCTGTTTAATTGGACAAAGATTAAGGTATTTTCAAAGATACTCACTTGGGGGAAGGAGGACATTATATGAAGAGGGATTAAGTCCCCCCCACCGGAAGAGATGCAAAGTTTGTATATCTCTGCAGTACAAGTGCAATAATCCAAGTCAACTACTGTGTAGTCTTTCCTTGGCTCTCTACAGTGCAGATATTTTTATATCTAAAGGACACATATTCCAGGACATTACAATTTTTTATGCTCTTTTGTACTATATATAGTCTTTTCATATCGTCTGTTGTATTTTTATCTTTAATGGCATCTTGCTTTAACTCTTTGTACTCTATGTAAGCTACTAGAACCATGATTTCCCTGAAGGAGTAATCCCAAGGGATAAAGTTGAGTCTATGTCTAAGAAAAATGGAGAGAAAATGTGCCCCAAATGACTTCTATCTGTAATTACATATACCGGTATGTATATTACTAATTAATTTGTTAAAAAGAACTGGAAAACCATGTATTATTTTCTTTAATCCACAATTATGCACATTCTTGTGGTGGTATATCAATAAAATCTGGATAAAATGAATTGCCTTCTAAGGCACTGGATGTTTTGCATGCTTCCATTCACCTGTGATTTTGGGTCCTTTTGTGTCCAGATTCGAAATCAAATTTGACAAACGTTCCACCTCTATCTGCAGCCGCAGAATTTCCCTCGCTGAAAGATCAAAGCACACTGGATCAGCGCAAACTTAAAACAGCAACCTCATCGGAGATGGTTGCACTGTGAGCTTACTAAGATTCTTGTCATTCTCCCGATCAGTCAGCTGCATAATTGCTCCTTGCAGCTGCTCAACTTTTTGCCTCAGTTGCCTCTTAGCATCTGAAAATGAAAACCAAGCTCAAGATGTAAAACTGGACATACGTTGGTTATGTTGCAAACATTTAGTACAAGGCTCACCAGAAACCTCAATTTTGGATTTATCATTCAAGATATTGATCCTTCTCTCCATTATCTTAATCTCGGTGCGCACAGAAATCAGCTTCAGGACTGCGGCATTAATCAGAAAAACACTGTTATTTCTTGATCTCTAACATTGCCGCCCGGTTAAAGAAATGCTAACTGACCATCATAGAGGGGGTGTTCTCTCCTTTGCAGCTCGCCAAGCTTCCTGTCCAGCAGCTCTTGCAGAGCTGAGGGGGGTTTAAAAGAGACAGAGGGTGAGTCAAAGGGTTATGGATTACATTTTGTCCATTCTAAATGATAGAATGGGTTCAATAGAGGGTTTTTGAATATTTGAGCCAGAGACAGAGCATATTACCCATAAGTCTTTCATCAACACTGGCAGAAGTTTGGCTTAGAAATTCAGTCTGCCACAAGTCCACAATCTCAACTTGCTGGGAGATTATCTCTAGGACTGAGCAAATTACAGAGAATTACCAGAGAATAGGACCTCCCTTTGCTTGGAATTCAAAACAATGAAACCCAAAACTTACTTAATTCCCAGTTTTTGTCAGTTTTGTTAATTTTCTCATTCTCAGCGTCCAGCTCGGCGGTCTTTGCACTCAGTTGGGCTTTCAGAGCTGTTCAACATGAATTCAGATAATAGTCATTTCCAGTGAAAGTCTTGAAAATCTTTCGGAAGAACATCAAAGTTAAGTCTAGGTCTCATGAACATGTGTAAGAGTGACTGTGACACAGTTGTTTAATAGAAATTTCTTTTTTCTTTTTCTAGCTTTTTATTGTCATTACGCTGTCACGTGTACAGCGCAACGAAATAAACTCTCTGCATATAACCCATCCCCTTGGGGAGCGGGCTGCCACTGTGCAGCGCCTGGGGAGCAGTGTGGGGTTAAGGGTCTTGCTCAGAGACCCAGAGTCGCAGTCTGTGGGAGTTGGGCTCGAACTCAGAAGCTCAGGATTGCAAGCTCTATGCCCTAACCACTAGGACGCCACTCCCTCCATATTACATGTATTGATTTTATTTGAAGAAATGAACATAAATATTGATTTGAATGAATTCATGTTCTTGTGCTGAAGCACAGCATTCATTTATTTTAATTTTCTCACTTCCAAAAAGAAGGAGTTAGGGCTGCTCCTGTAGAAACTGTGAAGTCTGATTGGCTGCTTCTCACAAATAAGAACTTCTTCCTGGTTCTCTCTTTACTGTGAAGTCAGTATTACCACAGAAAACATGGAATTCATTTCTAATTGATGCAGTGTATTCTCATTATCAGTTCGTATGAAATCGTACGAAAAGTTATGCACAGTAATTTCGTACGTTTTTGACGTTTTTTTCGTGGTATTTCGTCGTATTTTTACGTCTTGCCTCAAGACAAGATATCCTTGCGCATGCGCATCTTATGCACCATTCAATAACATAGAATTTAACATACAATTAACCCTAACCCTGACCCTATCCCGAACCCTAAGATACAAAACAACAAGCAACCTAGTGAGAGACATCAAGAATCTGCTTTTTTCTGGCTGCGCATGCGCACTGATCTGTTTTTTCGAGGAAAAACTTCAAAAACGTACGAAATACTGTGCATAACTTTTCGTACGATTTCATACGAACTGATAATGATGATGCAAGTTTGTCCCACCCACTGACTAATACTAGATCCCCTTCTCTTATTACCTTTCTAATGATCAAACTATGAATAAGAGGCTGGAGTTGCTCACCCAGTAATCTGTAAATAAATTTTTTAGAAAATGATTTGAAACTTTTCCAGTAATAATATTGATTTTACAGTTAAAGAAAAGCAAGTTGTCTTTTCTTGCTCAGTGAGAGCAGCAAATAAGACGTCAAAGTTAAATTAATTCATTGATTCATTATGAATATCTTACTGCTGGAATTACCCCAAAACTTTTATATCTAACTGGGCAAATAGAGACATGCATGTATTACTGATTTTACAAACGTGACGCAAAGCAAAACCTCAATATTTATTTTGGATCCCCTAAAGACATGCAGCTATAAATGTACTGAAAGGTGAGATTCTGCATTCAATAAATTGGCTTTACATTTCAAGAGCAACTTGTTATTTTCCTTCCACTTCATGATTAACCACTACTTTTTGCTGGTCTGTCACACAAAAAACACAATCAATCAATC